GGAGTAAACACCTCACCCTTGATCATACCACCTTGGAAGAACTGAAAAGTTACAGGTCCCTACAAGTATCTCTGAAAACAGCTGCACAAAACCCCTGGGACAGTACATTCTCCACACTGGAAACAGACTCCTACCTTAACAAAGAGTTTGTAACTCAAGTAATTTGCTGGCATCATGAGCAAGCAGTGCAAAAAGAGTCAGACTATATTATCTTACTTTGGTGACAAAGAAGATCAAAACGTACAACCAGAAGAAGACAACAAAGCCAAAGCTCTTACATCCAAAGCGTCCAAGAAAAATATGAAGTGGTCCCAGGCCATGGAAGAGCTCAAAAAGGATTTTGAGAAGCAAGTAAGAGAAGTAGAGGAAAAACTGAGAGTGATGCTAGAGGAGACCCAAAAAAATACTGAAGAAAATAACGCCTTAAAAAATAGCCTAACCGGAATGCAAAAGAGGTCCAAAAAGCCAGTGAGGAAAGCAAAACTGGCCAAATGGAAAAGGAAGTCCAAAAGCTTACTGAAGAAAATACTTCCTTAAAAATTAGAATGAAGAAATTGGAAGCTAGTGACAATTTGAGAAATAAAGGCACTGTAACACTAATCCAAAAGGATGAAAAAATAGAAGAGAATGTGAAATATCTCATTGGAAAAACAACTGACCTGGAAAATAGATCCAGGAGAGAGAACTTAAAAATTATTGGACTATCTGAAAGCCATGATCAAAAAAAGAGCCTGGACATCATCTTTGAAGAAATATCAAGGAAAATTGCCCAATATTTTAGAACCAGAGGGCAAAATAGAAATTGAAAGAATCCACCGATCACCTCCTGAAAGAGATCCCCAAAGGAAAACTCCTAGGAATATTGTAGCCAAATTCCAGAGTTCCCAGGTCAAGGAGAAAATCTTACAAGCAGCCAGAAAATACCAATTCAAGTATTGTGGAAACACAGTCGGGATAACACAAGATTTAGCAGCTTCTACATCAAGGATCTGGAGGGCATGGAGTATGATATTCCAGAGGGTAAAGGAGATAGGACTACAACCAAGAATCACCTACCCAGCAAAACTGAGTATAATCCTTCAGGGTAAAAAAATGGTCATTCAATGAAATAGGGGATTTTCAAGCATCTCTGAGGAAAAGACCAGAGCTGAATAGAAAATGTGACTTTCAAATACAAGACTCAAGTGAAACATGGAAGAGGTAAACAGGAATGAGAAATCATAAGAGACTTATTAAGGTTGAACTGTTTACATTCCTGCATGGAAAGATGATATTTGTAATTCATGAGTCCTTTGTCAGTATTAGGGTAGTGGGAGGGAAAAAAATTATATGTATGTGTACATCGATAGAGGGTACAGGGTGAGTGGAAGATGAAGGGGTGATATCTGGAAAATAAAATTAAGGAGTGAGAGAGGATTATACTGGGAGAAGGAGAAATGGAGAAGTAGAATGGGGTAAATTATGTCACATGAAACAGACAAGAAAAGGCTTTTACAGTGGAGAGGAAATAGGGGATGGTGAGAGGGAATGAGTGAATCTTAGCCTCATAGGATTTGGCTTAAGGAGGGAATAACATACACAATGGGGTGTGGAAATCTATCTTACCCCACAGGAAAATAAGGGGGGAAGGGGGCAAGAGAGCAGGGGGTTGATAGAGGGGATGGCAGACTGGGGAGGGGATAATCAAAAGCAAACACTCCTGAGGAGGGACAGGGTCAAAAGAGAGAATAGAATAAATGAGGGGTAGGACAGGATGAAGGGAAATATAGTTAGTTTTTCACAGCAGGAATACTATGGAAGTGTTTTTGCATGACTGCATATCTATATACCTGTATCGAGATGCTTGCCTATTCAATGAAAGTGGGTGGAGAGGGAGTTAGGGAGAAAATTTGTAACCCAAAGTTCTAAATATGTTAAAATTTAAAAAAATATTTAAAAAGAGCCTAAACATCATTTTTCAAGAAATTATCAAGGAAAACTGCCCTGATATTCTAGAACCAGAGGGTAAAATAAAACTTGAAAGAATCCACTAATCACCTCCTGAAAGAGATTCCAAAAAGAAAACTCCTAGGAATATTATAGCCAAATTTCAGAGTTCCCAAGTCAAGGAGAAAATATTGCAAGCAGCCAGAAAGAAATAATTCAAGTATTGTAGAAACACAATCAGGATAACACAAGATTTAGCAGCTTCTGCATTGAGAGATTGGAGGGCTTGGAATATGATGCTTTCAGTGAACATATAGAAGATGAACTTATATTCCAATACTTTCTTTCAATTACAAAAAACAGTCATTTTATCCACCAACAGTACACAATGGCATTAAATGTAAAAGAATAAAAGCAAGAGGAGAGAGAGGAGGACATTTTTTTCTGCTTGGAAAAAAAATTATTAAAAAACCTTTTGAAAAATTAAGAGATGAGAATAAGATGAGTAACAATAAAACTAACATTTATTTCATGTTTTAGAATTTGCAAATTTCATTATCATTAAATCTCAAAAACAACCAACCTAGTGAAGTAGGTGCTATAGCTATAATTTGTCTTGTTTTACATTTTTGAGGCTCAGAGTTTAACTTGTTTGTGATTATGCAGTGTCAAAGGTAGAATTTGAGCCCATGTCTTTATAACATCCTGCTTATATAACTAATCACTCAACTAATATTTAGTGGGTTCCTACAATGAGCTAAGCACTACTAACATTCTTAGTGCCCCATTCTTGATTTTACAGGGACTGTCTTATTTGTAGAATATTCATTGTAGAATACGTGTGTGTTTGTGAATGCATTTAGTATGTGTATGCACTGTAGAATATTCATAACTATCCCCTTTGTTGCTGCCTGCTTTTTGGCAGTTTCAATGGTAGTTAACACCCTTTACCAAAGGAAGGCAAAGGAGAATAAATGAAAATCCAGATAATAGGTTGTTTGTAAACTCTTCAGTAGGAAGTGTGCCTAAGGTGACTTGCTTAATCTCAAAAGTGGTGCCATAGTTATATGAAAAAATCATTATTGATTATAGAAATGAAAATTAAAAGAACTTTGACATGTCATTTTACATGTCAGATTGGCTAAAACAATTGAAGGAGGATAAATGTTGGAGGGGATGTGGAAAAATTGGTACACTAATTCATTGTTAGTGGACTTGTGAACTGATCCAACCATTTTGGAGAACTATCTGGAATTATGTCCAAAGAGTTACTAAACTGCATACACCTTTGATCCAGCAAAGAACCTATGTTTTGTAAACTATTTATACTAGTTCTCTTTGTGGTGGCAAAAATTGGAAATTGCAGGGATGTCCATCAGTTTGGGAATGGCTGAACAAGTTGTGATATATGGTTGTGATGGAATTAATGCTATAAGATATGATGAGCTCAATGGTTTTAGAAAAACATGGAAAAACTTGCACAAAGTAATGAAGAGCAGAATGAGCAGAACCAAGAGAATGTTGTATACAGTAATGGCAATACTTTCTTAAGAACAACTTTGAACAACTAAGTCATTCTAACTTTTATAAATACTCAAATTGACTACGAAGGACCAATGAAGGAAGATGCTATCTACATCCAGAAAAAGAATTAACAAATAGAAAAGTATGTATAGTATGATTTTATATACAAACACATATATGTATGTATATGCACACATATTTGTGTCTAATGGTAGCCATCTCTAGGGTGGGGGGGAGAGGGAAGGAAAAAAGGTAAAAAATTAGATGATGATTTATCATTTTTAAAAGGAATAGCAAATTATACATGGTAGACTTGTAGTTTCACGTGCAATCATCTTTTTAAAAAATTTTACTGTTAGGGAAATGCTAATTTTACTTCAGAAATTAAAAATAAAAAATATTTTTAAAAAATTGATGACATCTTCTTGTATCTGGTGCTGCAGCAAAGCACTTGAAGGTGGAGATGACTTTCTCTGACTGATAGCCGTGGTTCTAGTTGGTCATGCATGGATGACAGCTGTAAGACATGATTTCGACAGCTCTTCGTTTTCTCCTCATTTTGTTACCTCCTCTTATCAGAGCATTTGTTTCCAGTTGAAGTGGCAGAAATCTTACCATAGTGTTTCAGTGTTCTCGTTCTGTCTGTGTATCTATCTATCTGTACTTAGTTTAGAAACAGTTGCAGGTAATTGTGCATGGAACTCAGGGGAGACTTTACCATTATAGAATGCCACACTTGTTCTGTCTCTTGCAGGCAGCCCTGCTTTTCCAGTTACAGTGCCTTTCTCTCGTTCAACTGTTGCTCCAGTATTCCTCTTAAGGCAATGACAGCAACTGTCTGGGCTTCTTTAGAGACTCAAGATACTCCTTGAGCAATTGTTTCTATAGAACGGTTAGCTATGCTTCTGCTCCTTGATATCATATTCCTTCTGTTGCAAACAATAAGACCTTATAGTCAATATCCTGGTAGTTCTATGAATGTAGAAAAAGAAAAGTATGGCCTTGAGTCCCTGATTCTGTGTTTTGAGGTGGCCAAGTTTGAATTAAGATAATTAAGCAAAACTTCTGTATGATTCCAGACCAATCACTCAACTTTTTGTGACTTAGATTAGAGCTCTAGCCCCCTTACCTCTCTATGAGGATGAATATGAAGATGAGCATGATAAAATGAGAGGCAAAACATGTTTTGCTTATCATCTGAGATGAATAAATAAATATGAGGTTTAAAATAGCATTTTGAGCACTCCTTGCTAGAGCCATGTCAAATAGAATTACATTTTTATGGTTTAATTTGAAATTTTGATGTTCCTAAATCGCATCTTTTTTCTTCTCTTTTGTTTTTGGTTGTTGTTGTGAGGTGTAACTTACTTAGTAGGAGGTATCAGAAAAAGGTGATATTTTAAAATATATACTGATAAAAATTTTAAAATAATATTTAAAAACTCTTTATGTTCAGGATGGCTCCCTTTTGGTAGTGAATATGTCCGTCAGATTCTTCTGACTGACCACTGAGACTTGCACATCATGAATCCATCTTTTTTAATTTTTAGGTGTTCCTTTCCCAAGGAACTTTCTTCAGATCTGCAAGAAGATTCTGTGTCGTCTTTTCCGGGTATTTGTGCATGTCTACATCCATCACTTTGATCGTGTGATCGTAATGGGTGCAGAAGCCCACGTCAACACCTGCTACAAACACTTCTATTACTTTGTCACAGAGATGAACCTCATAGACCGCAAGGAACTAGAGCCCTTGGTAAGTGGAGCAAATACTGATTATTTTCATTCACTCATAGAGCTAGAAAAAGGCAAGGAGGTTCAAGAACTGCAGTTTTAAATCTTAACCATTTCTTCTATTTAGAGATTGCTTCTATTCTCAATAAGTAGTAGAGATCCCAGCGCTACGAGAAGGGGCTTGAAAATCAACTGACCTGTGGTTCTGCACTGTGAATGCCCTGATCCAAACTCTCTACTTGGTCATCATTCCTTCAGCTGGTTGGTACAGTGGATGGAGCACTGCATCTAGAGTCAGGGAAACATGAGTTCAAATCCAGCTTCAGACAGGTACTGGCTTTGTGACACCGGGCAAATTGCTTAACCTCTTTTTGCCTTAGTTTCCTTAATTGCAAAATGGGAATAATAATAGTACCTACTTTGCAGGGTTATTGTGAGGATCAGATGGAATAAAGATTATAAAGTGCTTAGCATGGTGTCTGGCCCATACGAAGCATTTACTTAATAAATGCTTTTTTTCCCCACTTACACTTCCATTATTGTATCTCTCTATTTGAATATAAACTCCCTGATAGCAGAGACTATTCCACTTTTGTGGATCAGGAATCTAGTCCACTACTGTCTGTACTTTGCACTAGGTCTGACACATAGTAGGCCCTTCTTAAAATGTTTATTGATTGACCGGTTGATTAAGCAGTCTTCAGGAAAGGAAATGCCCACATCTATCTATTCAGGTTTTTCATAGTCAGGAACTTCTTCCTCTTGTCTAGACTGGCTCCATTTATAGAATCATTATTATACCTTTGGAAAAGGGATACAGTATGGCATAGTGAAAAGAGCACATTTAAGTCAAAGAACTTAGTTTTAAATCCTTTATTACCTGTGTAACTTTGGCTAAGTCACTAAACCTTGGCCTCAGTTTCCTCATCTGCAAAATGAGGAAGGCGAGATCCAGATCTGTGATCCTATGAGCCACAAATCAACTTTGGGACCACACTAAAATCGAATTGGTGCCTCATTGTGGTATCAGGTACCACTGTAGTGGTTTGCCATTTCCTTCTCCAACTCATTTTACAGATGAGGAAACTAAGGTACACAGGGGTAAGTGACATGCCCAGCATCACATAGCTAGTAAGATTTGAACTCAGGAAGATGAATCTTCCTGACTCCAGGCCTGGAACTCTATCCAGTGTACCACCCAACTGCCCCATTCAAGGTCATACCAACCAAGAATGAACAAACCCAAACAAACTAGAAAGGTTTTGAGGATAGGTCCTAATTGGACTGTCATCAGAGTATTAGCCTGAGTTTAATAGGCTTATCAACTATGTAACTTTTGGGGAGACGTCACCCATTCTGTAAAATGAGAGGTTTGAATTAGATCAGTAGTTCTTATGTTGGGGTTGGTGAACTTGGTTTTAAAAATATCTTGGTAATAATATTTTGATGTAATTTGTTTCCTTTGTAATTCTATGTATTTTGTTTCCTGCATTTAAAAACATCATTCTGGCAAGGGGTCTTTCCCCAGATTGCGAAAAGGGACCATGTTATAAAAAACATGGTTCAAAAGAACCCCTAGATTAAATAATCAGTAAGGTCTGTCACATTTATCTCTAACACTATGAGTTCAGAAGTTTGTACGTGGTTACTTCCATCAACATGGCATTATAATCTAGCATTCTTTCAGCTACAGCTTGCCAATATCGGTAATATGAATAGGTATAGTTAATGCTTGGTTATGTTAATAATACTTTTAAAAATAGTTAAACCATAATTGCCTAGATTACAAGGGTGGGGATCCTGCAACCTTGAGGCTGTACATGGCCCTCAAGGTCGCAGGTTCCCCACTCCTGGCATTATGTATTCACTAGGTGATCCTGTAAAGAGATGATAAATGTTGGCTAGATGAGCAACTACGAGCTAGGTTGTCTGTAATTGCACTAATTAAAATCACTAAGGAGCTCTAGATTCATTGTATGATTGTATTGATTTTAAAATGTAGTATTTCTGGAAAACTGTCATATGATCAGTAGATTTCCATCCCCCAAATCAATAAGTATGATGTATTTCACTAGTAACCCCTTTTTTGCTATGCTTGCTGTTGTTATTTAATCAATTAGTTGTTTCCAACTCTTTGTGACCTTATTTGAGGTTTTCTTGGCAAAGATGCTGGAGCGGTTTGCCATTTCCTTCTCTAGGTCATATTACAGATGAGGAAATTGAGGCAAACAGGGTTAAGTGACTTGCCCAGGGTCATACAGCTAGGAAGTGTCTAAGCTCAAGTTGGAGCTCAGGTCTTCTAGACTCCAGACCTAGCGCTCTATCTACTGTGCCACCTAGCTGTTCCTTTTTGCTGCACACTTGTTTTAAAATCAGCTATATCAAATTAAATAAAAATAGTTCTACTGATTCACGATAATAGGAAAAGAAGGTATTATGTGGGATAGAATTAAGTATGAAGCATAATCGTTGCTTTCGTGGATCTTACAGTCTACTAACAAAATATTTTCTTAGTACTCAGATATCCTCTTTCACTCTTGATCTAGGACAGAGATGTCAGGCACACTGCCTGGGGGTGGCATGTGGCCCACACCACTCAGGTGCTACCTGACTCAGGTTAAAATGTAATTGGGAAATATTTAACAAAATAAATAAAAATTCAATAAAATACAGATAATGCTGTATTTTAAATTGGTCAATATGCAGCCCGCAGGGATCCTTATATGTGGCTTGGTAGGCCCTGTTTCTATTTGAGTTTGATACCACTGATCTAGGATTAAGTAACCAGATGACTGATTACAGTGGAAAGAGTACTAGATTTAGAGTCGAGCTACCTAGATACACATCCTGACTCTGCTATTTGCTATCAGTGTGACCATGAACAAATCACTTAACCTCTCTGGGCCTCAGTTTCCTCAACTGTAAAATAAAGTTGTTGGACAGTAACCTTGAAGATCCCTTCTTACTCTCAATCTGTAATTATTTAATTATTTAGATGCTGTAATTGTTAACATTGTTGTCTTTTGGATTCTTTTTCCTGAATTGCCTCATCATAGGTTAACTGTTCCAGTTAGTTCTATTGTTGAAGTTTCTCCATAGAATGACTCACCTGTCCTCCTAGTACAGATAGATAGATGGAAACATGCAAGAGAATTTTTTGTTCTTTTAGGGAACACATAAGACACAACTTAAACATTGGGAAGAGAGGGATTAGACACCCAACAACTGTTAGACAGAAAAAAAAATCATTTAGTGGGAGGGTGCCTTGAGCCATAGACAATCAATTAACAAGCATTTTTGGAGTGTGTACTACATATGTACCAGGCCTCATACTAGACAGTGAGGAAATACAGAACAGTATAAGACATTTCCTGCTCTTATATTCAATGCAAGGGGACAGCACATAAATATATAAGTGTGTACAAGGTAATGGGTGAGGGGAGAGAACATGGAACTAGGGAGATCAGAAAAGGCCTTATATAGAAAGTAATGATTGAACTGAGTCTTTAAGAAAACTAGCTATTCTAAAACATTGTGGTATAAAGAGTATATATATTCCAGGAATGACAGAAAGCCAATGCAAAGGTGTGGTGATGGGAAATGGAGTTCTCTTTATAAGTAACAGTAAGAAGACCAGTTTGACTGGACCATAGGATACCTGAAGAGGAGTGAAGTTTAATAAGTTAATTCTGTAGATTTTGTTAATTTTTTTTAAGAAGTTAATTCTGGTTGTCCCAAAGGTCTTTGGTCCCAAAGGTAGTTGGGATCAGGTTGTAAATGACTTTAAATGCCAAATGGAGGAGTTTGTATTTGATCCTAGAGGTAAGCCACCAAAGTTTATTGAATACAAGAGTGACATGTCTTTTGGTGCTATCACACTGGCAGTTACGTGGAGTACATATTGGAGTAGGGAGAGACCTGAGGCAAGTAAGCCCACAAGGAAACAGTTACATTAATCTCAGCCAGAGGAGATGAAATCCTGATATGAGAAATGTTGTAGAGTTAGAAAAAAACAAGAGTTGGCAACTTACTAGATATGTGGTATGAGAATGAGTATTATGAGAATAAGTTTGACTGGATGGTGGAGCCTTTGAAAGAAAAAGGAAATATGGAAAAGGCGTAAGTTTGGAGAGAAAGATCATGAGTTCTGTTTTGGAAATGATGAGCTTGAAATATCTACAGGATGTCCAATTGGAAATGTCTAGTAGGCAGTTGGAGATGTTGGATTTATGGTCTGAAGAGAGACTGGGGATGGCTGTGTATACCTGGGGAACGTGAGTGTAGAAATAGTAATTAAATCCAAAGAAGACCATCAAGTGTTCATTCATGAGTGGGAACAAGAAGTCCACATTCAAGAGAATGTAGAGAGAAAAGAGAAGGGGGCACAGGGCAAGGGAAATATTGACTTGATTAGACCCTATCTCTAGGATGCCAGTCTCTGATAAGTGAGCTTTCACCTTATCTTGTCCAGAAGAAGGCCTCCATGTCACTTCCCGGACATTTCCACACCATGCTGTTATGAACATACTGTCTTCACTTTTCCCAACCCCTTACCTTCTTAGGATATAAACTCCTTGAGGTCAGGGGCCGTCTTGCTTGCTTATATTTATTATCCCCATTGCTTAATATGTGCCTGGAACATAGTAACCTTTAATAGATGCCTTATCAATTATTGTCGCTCAGTATTAGAAGTATCTAAAGGTAGAATCACTTCTCCTAGGCTACATTGTGTTTCCCCTTTTTGAAAGTTTTCAAGTAAAGTCTGGATGATCACTTTGGGAGCGTATTATAATGAGGATTGTTTTCAGGTATGGGTTGGACTGTGTTAACTGAAGTCCCTTTTCAGTTCTAAATTCTGTTATTCTGTGAATAGACAATCTCAACTGGAAAACTAGAAGAGGGTTCCTGGAAGGTATAATGTGTTAGGCTTTTAATGATAAGCAGAAATTCAGCAGGTGAAAAGGGGGAGGGAATGTATTCCAGGCATAACAAACACATATGAGCAGAAGTGTGTACATGTTT